TATAAATAATTTATAAATTAAGTCATATTTAATTATTAATTTCAATTATAAATTTATAATTATTATCTGTATATTTCAATTACTCATTTATTAATTGTATATTTCGTTAGACTCACAGTTCCTATAAATAATTTATAAAGCATCAAAGTAAAGGAAGGTGTTTGAATGCCTATAAATATAACTTCCTTCTGGCAAGTACTTAACAACAAAGGGTAGCCAAGAAATGGCGACTGCCACCACGAACCCCCGCCTACACTCGCTCAGACGGCTGCGCCGCCGGTTTCCCAACCGCGTATTCGCGGCGGTTTACACCTTTGTTATACTGGCCTTGTTCTACCACCATGCACTCACCCTCCTTCACTTCACCACTTTCACATCTTTCTGCATATCCCTCACCATGTTCATATCTGATATTATTCTAGCTTACATGTGGTCCACAACCCAATCATATCGAATGAATCCGATGACCCGACGAGAATTCCCCGAAAACCTCGTAAAATTCTTGGACCGGAAAGATTTTCCGGCCATGGATATATTTATATGCACTGCAGATCCATATAAAGAGCCACCAATTAACGTTGTTAACACAGCTTTATCAGTTATGGCTTATGATTTTCCGACAGAAAAACTGTCGGTCTATTTGTCGGATGATGGAGGATCAGAGCTTACACTCTTTGCTTTCATGGAGGCTGCTGAATTTGCTAGAATTTGGTTGCCTTTTTGTAGGGAAAATGATATTATAGAAAGATGTCCAGATGCTTATTTCAGCTCAAATTATGATGAAAACCCTATGACTGGGGAAGTTAAGGTAAAAACTTTACCTCTCATACTTCATAATGTTACCATTTTAGGCATGCATGATAACCATGAAATAATAAAATTGATTCAAGTTAGAAGAATTTACCTTATAACGAATGATAAAATAATAAATTTTGTATTAACTTTTAAGAATTAACAGTTTGATTTTAAGCTAGTGAAGTTCAAATATACAATGGACATGGATTATAACTTTTATCCCCCATTTGGTAACAATGAAAAGCTAGATTTTAATTTAAATAAAAGTCTAGTTAATTTTATAGTTCTTAACAACTTTTCAATCACACATTTCATCAGCTTCTATAAAACTTTATTAAAAATATGATTTTAATCCCTATCAAACAAGGACTTACACCATGTTTGTTTCCGACTAAAATTAGATTTTAATTTAATTCAAAGTCAAACAATCAATATTAACCACATCTTTTATGGGTCCCACAATTTTTCAACCACACATTTTAAAATTTTTTTATCATAATCTACTAAAAATCTAATTTTAATCCCCACCAAACACCTATTTAGTAAATAGGGGTAGAAGACATTATATCCTAACTTATTTTCACGATACATTTGATTTGAGAATTGAGTAATATTGAATACTTTTTAAAAAATGAATTAAAAAAAAAATTAAAATTTTGTCGATTCAATCCTACGGTTTAAAGATTTCCCGAACGTTAAATTTATAAGATAGTATCTGGAATCTACAGGGTGGGAACAAAGTAGTTGCTACAATAATGTCCAACCAATTCATAGGCTACAATAATGTCCAACCTTATCGTTTTGAATATTCACGACTGTTTTGTCCGATTCTAAATATAATGATGTACCTAGTGAGTATAAATTGATGCTTTCTTCTTTAACCTATATCACGTTATTATCAATATTTGGAATGTTTGATAGTCATTATTTGAAAATTCATTTTTCTATTTACTTATTTTCAATTACATATTTACATAATAAAATATTTTACACGTAAATTCAAAATTTTTTCATACTTTTAACCACACATTCTCCTGAAAATCATTATTTAAAACATTGTTTTTCCCAAATAATGTCCATCCGACAAGGGCTAAGTTTCAATTTGTCATAAAATCCATTTCACGGTGTCTATTATATAGCTCCTGTTTGGTATCCATCATTTAATTTTTTTATTTTTTTTTTTGCTATTGGATCATTTTCAACCACTTATTCACACAATAAAATATTTTCCACGTAAACTAAAAAATTTTCATACTTTTTAACTACACATTTTCCTAAAAATTCAAAACTTATTTTTTTGGAAATAATAGGCACCAAATAGGGGCATAATAATATCAAAGAGAGTTTTTCATATACGTTATTATTTTTATTCTATTAACACGTTAAATTTCATTTGACCCTAATTTTATTTGAAAGTATCTAGTACAATACAATATAAGTCGACAAATACAACACATCATATATTAAAATTCACAACTCAAATGACAAAATCAGGTAGATGATTAGAGACGTGAAGTGAGGAAACATCAATTTAATTATATTTTATCGATCCACAATTATTAATAACTTATTCACCAATCAAATTTTATGAACTCATAATTTTAACAATTAAAATGGAAATCCAAACATAGAGATAGATCAATTATAAGCTAGCTGTCATTTTTTGGTCTAAGTGACGTCCATTGGCTAGATCATTGAGAGTCACAAGCTACATTCTTTGGCCGTTAATTTCAATAGAGACCGTGATGGGTCGTGATTGGAGTACAGGAGCATTTTTTACAGGGTAGTGCCCGGGCAGACACATCAAGCGGGGTCGGGCAATTTTTTCTTTTTTGAACACATGTGGGGTCCGCCCAGCATGTGAGAGGCTTGTAAGGCCTCGGTCCTGTACTTGCAGAATTATCCGTGGTTCACGAGTTACTAAAATTCTTATCATGTAATACATGGCATACAACTATTGGGGCTGAAATGTTTGGTTTTGATTTGGTCAAGTTGACTCCGCCACATAGTATATTCTCTCTTTCTCTTTTGTTCTTGCGTAAATGATTAATTTTTCTTACAATGATAAAATTATGGTTTACCATGGATTTATTTCTCACTTTTAAGTAACTTTTAAGTTTCTTATTATTTTTAAGTAAAAGATGTTTGTGACTGCATTACATTGCATTGCAGAGGAGGTATGAACACATGAAGATAAGGGTAGAAAATGTGGTCGAGAAAGGGAAAGTTAGTGATGAATATATTTCTAGTGAACTGCAACATCAACTCTTGAGTCAATATTGGACAAAAGACTTTACTCGTCAAAATCATCCCTCGATCATTCAGGTTTATCATTAAGCCCTCGTTTGGTGTAGATTAAAATTAATTTTTTTAGTAAATTTTGATAAAATTTGATGGAATGTGTGTTTGAAAAGTTGTGGGATCGATAAAATATGTGATTAATATTAATTGTTTGATTTTGAATTAAATTAAATTCTGATTTTAATCAATACCAAACACGGCTAATTCAATTATCTTATTTATTCTCGCACACTATTACAATTTTATTGATTAGTTTAAAAGAAATACATATATGACAATTTCTAAGCCATTTTTTACAACATAACAAAATTCTTATTCTACTCAAATTTTACAAGCAAGTCTTCTCTTGTGTAAAAATTCTTGACAGTGCTAACGTCACACGCACAACAATAAGAGGGTGTGTTTGAGCCACATTATTTTGGAAGAATGTATTTTGAAATAGTAGATTGATGGAGAATGTGTGGTTGAAAAAGAAGGAAAAATTATTGATGTGATGAAAACTATTATTTTATTGGAAAATGTGTTGTTGAAAAGGAGTAGAAATATGAGAACGAAAATTTTAATGTGGCTCAAACGGAACTAAATATATTTTTTCTTGAATGTTAAATAATATTATAATTTTAATATTTTAAACAGGTTCTATTAAATGCCAACAAGGACAAAGATATTAAGGGACATCCGATGCCCAACCTTGTCTATGTCTCCAGAGAGAAAAGAAAGACTACTCCACATCATTTCAAGGCAGGAGCCCTCAATGCCCTTGTAAGTAATAAGACTATTAGTGCACATGTTATAAAGTAGCGTTGGATAGAACTGAATAGTATAATGATACAATGTTCAATTTTCTATAACAAATGTAATAGTAATCTTCGGTTCTATAGCATTTACATCTAACATGATGTTAGGATAAAAGAATTGAGACGATCAAGATGTCAATAAATGTATTACTTCATTATTTGTTTTATTATAAGCGTGTGGAATTTACACTAATGTTGGAAATTTCGTGTTTTGCAATGAAGATTCGTGTCTCGGGAATCATGACCAACGCACCGGTTGTCTTAACTCTAGATTGCGATATGTATTCCAACGATCCTTTGACGCCTCAACGAGTTCTTTGCTACATTTCGGATAAGTCAAGTCGGCCAAATTTAGGGTACATTCAATTTCCACAACTCTATCATGGGCTCAACGAGGCTGATATCTATGCGTCTGAGTATAAAGGCTTGTTTCAAAAAAATCCCATTGGCATGGATGGGCTGAGTGGGCCTAACTATGTTGGGACTGGATGCTTTTTTCTTCGACATGCATTTTTTGGTGGCCCATCATCACCAGTTCAGCCAGAAATCCCCGAGCTCAGCCCCAATTACATTGTGAACAAGCCCATTATGGATCAAAAAATTTTGGATCAAGTCCACCATGTTTCTGGATGCAATTATGAGAACTTAACCAGTTGGGGTTCGAAGGTAAGCTTGTTCTTCGGCTAATCGCAAACACGATTTAGATAATTTCTTCGACTTTTGATTGATCGAGCTTTTTTTCACACGTGTAGATGGGGTTCCGTTATGGCTCTTTGGTAGAGGATTATTACACTGGATACCGGCTTCAATGCGAAGGATGGAAGTCCATATTTTGTGATCCAGAGAGGCCTGCATTTTTGGGTGATGTGCCCATAACTCTCATTGATGTTCTGAACCAGAACAAGAGATGGGACATTGGGCTGCTCGAAGTGGGTTTCTCAAAGTATAGCACATTAACTTATGGTATCCGGACCGCAGGGATTTTGGTGGCCCAGGCCTTTGGACACTATGCATTCTGGGGCATTTGGAGTTTTCCAATTACATTCTATGCTTTCATCCCTTCACTCACTCTTCTCTATGGAATTCCCGCCTTTCCCAAGGTACATCAACCTCAATTCCAAATATTGCATATTACATATTGAAAAATAGATTATTATAAAGATTAATAAAAGATACGGTGAAAAAAATTAGGACATTATAGATTCAATAAGAAAAGGATAAAAAGTTTACATGCATGTCTCTCTTTTTTCCATTTGTCGAGTCTGGAATAATGTAATTTGTCGGACGTTGTTCTACACGTAGTCGAACATGCATAAAAAATCGGAGAAACTTTAGATAGCCTTTTATTATTTAACACAAACATCTCATGTCCCTATTCTTTAATTTTGTTTAATAATCCAACGTGACCAACATGTTATTCTAATCGCCTTGGAATATTGTTGCAAAATATCATAGCAACAATATAAACCTTTATTATTTAACTCAAATATCTAACTTGTCTCTCTTAAGTTGCCTAAACCATTAACTTTCATATAATATTAGAGCAACTTAAGAGTACTATATTTTTTAAACACGAGGGGACAAATATTTTCTTATTTTTTTCAATTTGCATTTTTTTGGCAGGTATCTGATCCTTGGTTCCT